GTGACCCTGTTGCTCAACACTCGCTCTTTTAACCAACTGCATCACTTGGCCGGCCATCACTGGGCTGTGTTTTGACTGTCAATCCCCCGGCCCTCACCCTGATCTGCCTGTGGAGCCCAGAGCTCCCCCCATTGCCCTATTCCATTGATGACTGCAATTGGCTTCCCCCCATTAGACAGTGACCCTGTTAGGGCTCCCTCAGCTGTGTCCATCAGACTGCTGACAAGTGATTCCTGGAGACACATCCCTGACCCCATGTATTGGGCTTGTGGGAGATATGGCCAGAAAGGACATGGAGAACTATCTGGGTCTCGTCTGAAGGGCTGAGAACCTCTCTGTTTTCACCCTTTTCTGGGGCACAAAAGCCCACACTTGATCCTGTGTGACTGAGCTGGTGGAGGCCAGGAGAGGAGATTCCAACTCTCTCCCAGGAAGGGAGGAGGGACGAGGCTTTTCAGCATCTCACATGGTGTGTATGTGTGTGTGTGTGTGTGTGTGTGTGTGTGTGTAATGCTCATGCGACCTTGAGCCTCAAGGTCCTGTTGCAGCCAGTTCGGGCTCTGCTGTAGAGAGACCCTAGATTGAGAAGAACCTGGGTCCTAGAAGAGATGGCGTTTGCTGGACAGGAGTTGGACAGGAGGTACCACATAGACCATGTTCTTCATCCTGCAGTGGGAGAACTGGGGACTGAACCCTGGATGGGAGGAGAGTGGCACTCTTCTATTGTGCTGGAAGCAGGAAACTTATGCTCATCATCAAGATTGGAGTTCACCCCAAGTCTCTTTCGTCTGCAGGGGCACCGGGGACCAGGGCAGGAGAGGTTCTGGGGGCCGTCACGGGAGCTGGTGTCACTGCACTGTTTGCTCTCTGCCTTTTCCTCATCTACTTCATGTGAGCTGGGTCAGGTGTGGGCCAGAGGTGGAGAAGAGGGACCTGGAGGAGTTGGGAGTGCCTGCAGGCAGGCTGGGGGTGCAGTGATGGTGACAATCCAGCCAGTAGCCAATAAACCAGGCTTGTTATGACCCAGCCCTGATTCCGGATGTCCAGGAACTGAGAGGCTGGGGGGTGAGGGGTGGCGATCTTGTTACAAAGTCTTGTCACCAAGCTGCCGGGGCTCGCCCCACTTTTGACCTGCCCTAGTCCCTCACTCCAGCTTCAAAGAACGACCCTGTGTCAAAGGTCCTGGTATCTCCCATCAGAGTGAAGACCCGCAGGAAGAAAGCAGCCAAGACAGCCATGGGTGTGGACGACATCCATCCTCCCGTCGGGCCACCTCCCATGGTGAGTGACACGGGCATCCTGGCATGCAGATTGCCCCCCATATTCCCTGTGTGGCCCACAGTCTCGTTCCATTCAGCATGTCCACAAATGAGCTCTTCACCGTCCCATTTTTTAAAAATGTAGGTTGTATTATTATTCAGGTCTTTCAGCCCAAAAGATTGGGAGAAGGTTGCCACAGTTAGTTCCTCACAGTTCCCAAGAGAAAGGGGAAATGTCACACCATTCAAGGCCACGTGGGGCAGCACATGGGTTGGTCAGGAGGCTGAGGGGGTGAGGAGAAAACGTGGGCAGGAGCCTTAATGCTGGTTTCCATGAGGAATGCAAGGCGAGGCTGGGGAAGCAGGCTTAGGGCTGGCGAGTTTGAAGAACTCCGTGGGCTCTGGAATGTGTTGGCTGTCTCTCTTTGTCTGGGTCCTGGCCTTGGCGTGACTAGGGCAGGAAGAGAATGGTCTGGAGTGTAAGAGCTCCATAATGGAGGTGGTTGGGGTGTGCGCTCTGACGGATCGCTTTGGATACGAAAGGCATGCTCACAGCAAGTCCTTACCACCTCCAGCAATTGCCTGTTCCTGGCAGGCACGTCCCCCTAGGGTTAGCCCCAGATGTCAGAACACCAGAAGCACATGGTTAATACATAGTTTTTCTGGGTTCTCCATCTCACTGATGGCACCCTTGTCCTTGACACCCATTTAGAGACCTGACCATGTCCCATCACCTCTTGCTGTACCAATATGCTGTGAAGTGTTTCTGAGCTTCTTCTGAACACAGCTCAATAGAACCGTTCCGTCTGAGCTGAGCTCCCCTCTTCATGCTTATCCTGCTGCAGCCCTCCCATCTCTCCTCCCTGGCCTGTTAGCATTATCTCCACAAAAGATCACCATCTCACCCAAGTCTGAAATGCTTCTCCACGCTTCCAAAAGATGAGGACACAGACATCATGGTCTGGCATTTGGGGCAGGAAAGCCAGAGTCACCCCCACCATGTCACACCCCTAACACTGGCCTGCTCACTTGCCTTGAGCAGAGTATGGTTTTTGCATCTTAAGCTTTTTACATCTCAGAATCATTGCTCGGCTGTCCCCTCTTCCTCACATGCCTATGTCAGCCTGCCCTGTTGCTGCCCTTCCTCTGAGCTCTGACTTTTCATTCATTCATTTAACTCTGGCTAATGTGGACACCACTGTGAGGTTTCTGAGCAGACAGTCAGCAATTATGCATTTAGTTTTTCCTTCAGGAAATAGCTCTCGCTGTTGATTGTTCTGTGCTTGGAGTGCTTGGGTAGTATCTGTATTTTCAAAAATTCTTACGTGACAAATGTAAAATATCCCTCCTGGAAATGCTCTCCTTGCCTTGCAGATGGCCTCCTTCTCGCTGTGTCCTCACATGACCTTGTCCCTGTGCCCATGCATTTCTAGTGTCTCTTCTTCATATAAGGACTTACGTCATTTTGGGTCCTACCCTAATGACCACACTTACTTCATTACCTCTTTAAAGGCCCCATCGCCAAATACAATCCCATTGGGGGTTAGAGCTCCAACATATGAATTGGGGGGCACAATTCAGTCCACAAGACAGACTTAGCTCAGGGTAATAATGATGACTCTGGTGTGAAACAGTTGGGATCAGGACACATTTTGAAGGTGGAGCCAACAGGACTTGCCAGTGGACTGACAAGGTACTCCTGGAGTATGAGCAAAGACAGCTCACTGCCTTTACCTCATACATGTCATTGATGTCAAAGATGACTCCATGGATGTCACAGATGTCCAGAGATTATCATAAGTGTCCAGAGATTGTCATAGATGTCCATAAATGTCCATAGATACCAAAGATGACTCCGATGTGTTTGCCCCGAGAAACTTAAAGAATCGAATTGTCAATTCCTAAACTTGCCAGCTCTGCAGGAGACGTATATTTTTAAGAGGGAATCAAACTTTACTTTGGTTACTACAACTTTGAGGTGCTCCTGAGATGTCCAAGTGAAGATGACAAGAAGATGGCCAGAGTCTGGCGTTCGGGAGAGTGGTCCAGGTGGGAGACACAGAGATGTGGGGGTCTTTCACATCAAGGTCTGAGAGTGGATGAAACCACAAAGAAGAGAAGGGGTCTGCAAACAGAGCCCTGGGATACCCCAGCATTTAGAGTCAAGGAGATAAGGTGGAAACAACAAGAAGACCACTGCAGAAAAAGAAATGTCCTTGAGAGTATAGGGTTGAGTCCTGGTGGCCAAGGGGTCGTGCAATTTCAGGGACGATGGAGTGCTCATTTATATCAAGCGTTAATAAGTGCACTAAGGTCTTATGAAGAATCTGAAATATGACCACTTTAATCTAGCTAAGTGATATCACAGCTGATCTCAATAAATGCAGATCTAGTAGCCTGGTGAAGGCAAATGTCTTTACTGGAGTGAATTCAAGAAAGAATGAAAGAAGAGAACATGTAAAGGCTGTTTTGAGAAGTGTTGCCATAAATTTAGAGCTGAGAAATGAGTCTTCCCCAGAAAATATTTGTACCCCTCAATCCCTTGAAATTTCTTGGGTGATAGGAGTGTTCTTTGTTCTAATGAGGTGCTAATGGTGGATTCCTGGATGGGAGCTGGGCACCAGGAAGACCAAACCAAAATTAGAAGCTTAGAAGTTTCAGCCCTATCCTCCATTATCCAGAGAGGGCAGAGAGGCTGGAAATGGAGTTAATGGTCGATCATGCTTCCATGGTGAAGCCTCCATATAAATCCCCAGAGTTTGGGGTTCAAGAAGCTTCCAAGTGGGTGTCTGTATGGAAGAACTGGGAGAATGGTGTACTTGGAGAGAACATGAAATTTCGCCCCTTCCCACACACCTTGCCTTATGCATCTCTTCCATCCAGATGGTCATCTGTTTCCTTTATTACCTCCTTTTATAATAAGCTGGTACACAGTAAGGAAATTGTTTTCATGAGTTCTGTGAGTCACTCTAGCAAATTAATTGAACTTGAGGAGTGGTACATGGGAACTCCCAATTCATAGTCAGTGGTCAGAACCACAAGTGACAACGTTGGACGTGTGATTGGTGTCTGAAGTGGCAGTGTGTGTGTGTGTGTGTGTGTGTGTGTGTGTGTGTGTGATGGGACTGAGCCCTCAACCTGTGGGTCTGACAATATCTCCATGTAGATAGTGTCGGAATTGAGTTAAATTGTAGGACACCCAACTGGTGTCAGAGAATTGGCTGGTGGTGGGTCAAAATTCCACATATCTTGTGTCAGAAGTATTGTGAGTGTGACAATAATATAAGAGTAAAGGTGACACACACAGGAAGAATCGTTTTTCACAAACATCTTCCTCTGTATCCAGTACCTGGCACACAGGAAACCTTTGAGAGGCCAGGGGTTGAGTTCATGATCACTAGATGTATGACCTTGAGAAGTACTTAATGTCTCTGAGACTTAGTTCTTTCTTAGTAAAAATAACAGTATTTTCCACATAGGTCTGTGTGAGTGTTCGGAAGAATTGGAACGCAGCCAACAAGTTTGATACGTGCTGGTTCTTTCCCCCTCAAACAGAAAGGTGTTAGTGACATTTCCCTCAGAGGCTGGGTATATGCCCAGAGGCACCACATCATGTCAGGCTCACTCTCTACCCAAATCCCTTCCGTGGATCCTTTTCCTGACTTGGCCTCCAGCATCATCTGTCTCCATTCTGAAATTGCTCCTTTCCATCCTGCTGGCCTGATACTAGTCCAGCTATGGGCAAAATCACTTATTAAGATTTATAGAATTTCCTAAAACTAAGAGTTAACCATAGTCAAAATACTGCTGTATCTTCTCAGCCCCCCTAAATAATCTACAAGCCTTTCAACTTGACATTCTAGGTCCAGACTCAGGAAACTTGTTTGTAAGGGACCAGATAGCAAATATTCCAGGCTTTGCAAGCTATATGGTCTCTGTTGCAACTCTGTTTGCAGTGCAAATGCAAGCCATAGACAATCTCAAACACTGATGTAGCTGTTTCGACAAAATTTTATTTACAAGAGCAGTCAGCCCCCAGGCTGTAACTTTCTGACCTCTATTATAGGTTGTTCTTAATCTCACCCAGTCCAGAATGTGAATGTGAAAGATACACAGATACTTTGGGGAAAATGCAGGATTCGGGGAATATGGAATTTTGGGGAGATCGCTTGTGGAGTTTCTGTTGTTGTTGTTATTAATTTATTGTGTTAAAAACATAACATAAATTTACTACCTTAACTATTTTAAGTGTACAGTTGTGCAACATATCTCTAGAAGATTTTCACCTAGCAAACAGAAACTGTGTACCCACTGAACAACAACTACCCACTTCCCCAATTCCCCCAGCCCCGGGCAACCACCATTCTACGTTCTGTTTCTGTGCGTTTGACTCCTGTATCTTCCTCAAATTGGTGAAATCACCCAGTATTTGTCTTTCTGTGACTGGCTTATTTCTTTTACCATAATGTCCTCAAGGTTCATCCATGTTGTGACATGTGACAGGATTTCCTTCTTTTTAAAGTCTTAATAATATCCCATTGGATGTATATACCACATTTTCTTTATCCACTCATCTGTCGATGGATATCTGGGTTGCTTGTATCTCTTGGCTGCTATAAAAATGCTGCAGTGAACATAGGTGTGCAAATATCTTTTTAAGATCCTGTATCCAATTCTTTCGGATAAATATTTGTAATGGGATTGCTGGATCATACGGTAGTTCTAGTTTTACTTTTATTTTTTGAGGAACCTCCATACTGTCGTCCATAGTGGCTGCACCATTTTACATTTCCACCAACAGTGCACAAGTTTCTAATTTGTCCACATCTTCACCAACACTTATTTTCTGTTTATTTATTGATTTTTATTTTTAATACAGAATTTTTACCGTATTTTACTTTTTATTTTTCAATTACAGTAGGCTGTCAATATTACTTTATATTAGTTTCAGGTGTACAGCATCATGGTTAGACCTTTATATAATTTATGAAGTGCTCCCCCTGATTAGTCTACTGTCCCAAACTGAAACAGACTCATAGACACAGAGAAGAAGCTGATGGTTGCCGATCGGAGGGGGGTTAGAGGGTGGGTGAAAAGGGGGAAGGATTAAGAAGTACAAATTGGTGAGTACAAAATAGTCATAGGGATATAAAGTACAGCATAGGGAATATACTCAATAATATTGTAATATCTCTGTTTTTTTTAATATTGTGGCTATCTTAATGGATATGAGGTGGTATCACACCGTAGTTCTGATTTGCAGTTCTCTAATGATTAGTCATGTTGAGCATCTTGTCGTATGGAGAAATATCTAATTCAAATTTTTGCTCATATTTTGATAGCTTTATAAAAATTTTTTAGTTGTAAGAGCTCTTTCTCTATTCTAGATATTAACCTCATTATATATGATTTGCAAATATCATATATATTTGCAAACCTATTCCATAGGTTGGCTTATGGTTTTTGTTAACAATGTTTGAGCAAAAGCTCCAGTGTCTGTCATTCGATTGTGTGATCAGAGAGCGCTCCAGGCAGAGGGAACAGTGGATGCAAATGCTCAGAAACAGGGGGGTGACCAGTAAATGGAGAAGAAACAAGGAAGTCCATGTGATGAGAGAAAGAGGCAAGGGCCAGCAAGCAGGAAGTGAGTGCGGGGAAGTCAGCATGTGTGTAGATCACGTCTGCACATGCCGGTTACTGTGGACATTTGGAGGCTTTTGAGCAGAAGGAGGACATGGTCCAACTTTCATTTTCACAGGCTCTCTCTGGCCGCTATGTGCAAAATAGACTGTGTGGCAGGGAAATTAGAAAAGAGGTCAGAGGTGGTGGCTGGTCCAGGTTGTGGTGGTGTGGTGAGTGCTAACTGGATTCTGGATAAAGTCTGAAGTTCAGGCTAACAGAAATTGCTAATGGATTGAAAGTGGGGTGTGGGTGAGAAAGGGGACAAGGATGACTCCTAGAGTTTTGCCCTGAGCAGCTGGAAGAATGAAGGTGTCAACCATTAAGGCTGAGAAGATTGTAGGAGGAAGCAATATGGGGAGGAAAGGAAGTTCAGTTTAAGTATTTTGAGCTTTTGAACCAGGGAATGGGGATTTCAAATATACCGTTGGATCAAAGTCTATATTACTAGAGAGGGGATGAGATGCAGGTACGGACTTGGGGGCTATCAGCCTATAGACGACACAAGCCCATGTTGTGGATAAGATCACAAAGTGAAGTTGCAGGAGGAAAGAGTCTGGGGCTGCTCTGATATTTAGGGGTCAGAGAAATGGGGAGCATCCAGCAAGGGGGCTGCCAGCGAGGTCGACAGACCCAGGGAAGTTTGATGTCTTGTAATTAGAGAGGAGTTTTCATTTGGAGAAGGCATGCAACGGAGTCACCTGCTGCTGCAAAGTCCAGAGAGGCAAGGACTGAAACATGAGCATACAGATTCTTCAGAGGTCACTGGTATTTTCATAATAGCAGTGTTGGGAAGTGCGCGCGCGCGCGCGCGCGTGTGTGTGTGTGTGTGTGTGTGTGTGTGTGTGTGTGTGTGTGTTTAGCTTTGAACATTGGGGGAGAATGGGAGGAGCAAAAACATTAACAATTCCATTGAAGCATCTGCTCTGTTGTCTGGTACCTGTTACTCAGTATCCACTGTGTGAGCCTGCATTAGTTTCCTGTTGCTGCTGTAGCAAACCCCACAAAGTTAGTGCTTCCAACAAAATAAACATATTATCTTACATTTGTAGAGGCCACAAGTCCAAAACAGGTCTCACTGAGCTAAAATCAAGGCATTGGCAAGTGGGGCTGAGTTCCTTCTGGAAGCTCCACGGAAAATGCGTTTTCTTGCCTTTCTCAGCTTCTAGATGTCACCTGCATTTCTTGTTTATGGCCTCTTTCTTCCATCTTCAAGGCCAGAAGCATAGTACCTGTATCTTCACATCTCCCTCTGCCTCCTTCCTTTGCTTGTAAGACCCTTGTGATTACATTGGTCCCACAAGATAATCCAGGATCATCTTACCGCCTTTAGATCCTTAACTTTATCACATCTGCAGAGTCCCTTTTGCCAGGTAAGGTCACATGTGCAGAGGTTCCAGGGGATTAGGGTGTGGACATCTTTGGGGGCTGTTATTCTGTGTACCGCACAGCATAATTTCTTTCACTGACTTGTCCTCCCACCACACTGAGCTTCCGCAAGACAGGTGCCGTGTCTGAATCAAGTCCCTGGAATTCTCTCTCACTTACCTGGTCCCTGTCCCACTTACCATAATTCACCATTAGATATTTACTGGTTTAACTCATTTTTGCTGCCTTCCTTAATTAAAGAGTGAGCTGCAAGAGGTCAGGGCCTGTGTCCGCCATGCCCCCCACGGTATATCCAGCACCCAGCTCAGGGCCTCACACACAGGGGGCCTCACTCTTAGGAGGACACCAGGCTTTGGGATCAAAACGGAGCTGGATTAGATCTTGCTTTCACCAGGGACTGTGAGCACGCTGCTTATTTGGTTCAACTTCAGTTCCCATATCGACAAAATGGAGACATTCATATTATCTTTCTTACGAGGTTGTTGTGGGGATTTAATGAGATTAGCAAGGACCAAATAAGGTGCTCACCAAGTATTAACCATCTGAGGAAAGCATGAATGAAAGAAATCTTAACAAAAATGTGTGTGGCATGAATGGATAAAGGCAGTCACGGACTCCCTTCTCCCCCGGGTAATCTCTGCCTTATCCTGTCCCCACTGTTTCACTCTTTCTTTTCTTTCCCTTCCCTCCACTCAGAGTGCCCTGATTGAACCCCAGCCAGGCAGCCTCACAGACCACCCTCCTCCAACTCTGACTGTCTGCTCCTCGGGAGAGAAAGAAGAGATTCACTATGCATCCCTCAGATTTCAAAAGAGGCAGCCTGGAATCCCGCAGGAACAGCAGGTCACTGATAATTTGTACTCAGAGGTCAACATATCCACCTGAGGAGCTGCAGAGACTTGGCCCTGGTTTGATGATGGTGGCCCCCCCACAGGGCAAAGAGGAAAACAGGAGTGGGTTCCTATAAAATGAAAAGCTGTCTAGGTGATGAGTTAAAAGTATAGGGAAAGATCACAGGCTTTGGAACCAAAGAGTGGTGAGTTCAAATCCACACTCTGACCCTTTACTAAGTGATATGCCAATCCCTACCTCTCTGTGCCTGTTTCCTGCCCTGTGAAACAAGTTGAGAAGCCCTGCTTGCAAGTTTGTGGTGAGAATTGAGGGAGTGATATTGTATCTGAGCACCTGGCTCAACGTGTATGCTGAATCCCTGTGCTTTGAACAGAAAGTTCCTACTGGCAATTTCTCTTGACGCTGGCGGTGACCAGCATCAGACCTCAGTCATTGCAGCTGAGGTCCCTCCTCCTGGAATGCCCACCTGGCCTTCATCTGCCTCTGTCTTTGAAAGTGGAATTCAAGGGGTAGACTTCTGGGTGGAGATGGGAGTCAAGCAGAAGCTCATGACTTCTTCCCATAAAGACAAACCAAATGAATGAGAAAGGTTCCCAAATGATCACAGGACCATCTGATGAATGAAACATGATCCCCAAATTCACCTGCAGCTACCAGATGAGGGAAGGAGTATGTCACAGCAGTCACTTCCTAAAGTGGCCTTGATGGAAAAAAAAAGAAAGGACTGGATCTGGCATTAAACATTCCCTAAATCTGTGCTGCAGCTCATTTATTACAGCACCAAAAGTCATTGTGTACCAATGAACATTTTTTTAAAAAATCATGCAATACTTCTGTATCAAAGCTACAGAAAAACAGCAAAAAAATGCAGAACATTGCTGAGAGAAATTAAAGAAGATCCAAATGAATGAAAAAATACACCATGTCCTTGGATTGGAAGACACAATCAGTTTTCTCTGTATTGACTTAAAGTAATTCCAGTGTGTGTGTGTGTGTGTGTGTGTGTGTGTGTGTGTACACAAATTGATAAGTTGATTCCACAAATTACATAGAAATGTAAACGACATAGAATAGTCAAACAACTTTAAAAAGGAACACAGTTGGAGAAATAACATTTTACTATTATATAAAGTTAACCAAGAGAGTGTGTTATGGAACAAAAGAGAGAGAGAGAGAGAGAGAGAGAGAGAGAGAGAGAGAATTAATTTGAAAAGCACCAACTATTCAACTGAGAAAGGAAAAAAAATTTTTTTAACAAATGGTGGTGATCAAGTGGATCAAGTTTTGGGAAAAATGAATCTTGTCAATTATATAACTGGAATCATACAGTATGTACTCTTGTGTCTGGTTTTTTTTTCACTCAGTATTACATTTTTGGAAATTCATCCATGCTGTTGTGCATATCAGCATTTTTTTTCTTTTTATTGCTGAGTGGCATTCCACAGCATGAGTGTATCACAGATTGTTTACCGATTTTTCTACTGATGAACATTTGGTTTGTTTCCAGCTCTTGGCAATTATGAATAAAGCTGCTTGCAAGCATATTTGTACATGACTGTGTCAACGTATGTTTTCATTTCTCTCAAGTGTTGGGGTCAGGGCCAAGAGGAGACAATGAGGTCAGAGTCACATGTTGGGAGCTCGAGGGTCCCTGGGACCTCCCTGTGGGGACCAGAGTCCATCAGGAAGCTAGATGGATGGATGGTCTGGCGTGCAGGAGGAAGGTAAGGACTGGAGATGGACAATGGGAAACATCAAGGGGCCCAATAGTCCTGATAAAGAGTACCTGTTGCTTTGGGTTGAATTGTGTCCCCCAGGGAGCTATATTCAAGTCTTCTCCCATTGAGGTACCTGTGACTATGATTTTATTTGGAAAGATAGTCTTTGCATATTTAATCAAGCTATTATGAGGACAGACTGCATTGGGGGTCTAAATCCAGCGACTGGTGTTTCCCCCCCAAAAAGGGAAATGTGGACACAGAGACACAGGCAGGGAAGAAGGCCAGAGGACAATGGAGGCAGAGATGGAGTTATGACACCAAAAGGCAAGCACTGCTGAGGATTTCTGATAACCACCAGAAGCTGGAAAAGGCAACAAGGATTCTTTCCTACAGCCTTCTGAGGAAGCATGGCCCTGCGAAAACCTTCGTTTTGGTCTTTTAGCCTCCAGAATGGTGAGAAAATCAATGTCTGCTGTTTTAAGGCACCCAGTTGGTGGTAATGTGTCACAGCAGCCCTAGGATGCTAATACATTTGCTCAGCACCTTCATATATCCTATCTCATTCAATCCTCACAGGGGATTGGGAGGGTTGGCGCTATCCCTACATTACAGAGGAGCTTTGGGTGAGGTGGTCAAAGTCACACAGGCCGGCAAGTGTAGGGACTGTTGCCACGCAGCTATCCAGCCATCTGTCCCCCCTCACTTAACCCTAAACTGAACGCTTTGAGGACACTGCTCACACACCTTGCATCTCCCTGTTTGGCCCCAAAAGATGGCTGGTTAGTCAGTGACGGGTAAGATTCCTCAAGGGAGGAACAACCTAAGACAGGCACGGTCGCATAGGGGCCATTAGGAGAAATCTTGGGGCTGATGGAGGTGGGCATGGGCCCTCACCCGCCCCCAAAGAGACTGAAGATCTTCTGTCCTTGTAGCTACATTCCTTCCCTCAACCTGCTTGGGAAGTGACCTG